CTTGGGGACTTTTGGATTTTTGTTTTGGTGTGACTGAACCTCAGAGAGAGGCTGCCTACGTACCCTTTCGGGATCAAGTCAAACGTAGTTCAGGTCATAAAACTACTTCGTTGTTGCGATCTTTCCTTTTTTCCACTTTTCCTTTTCTTTCTTTTCATTTCTTTTCTTTCTCTTTTCTTTTCTTTTCTTTTTCTTTTCTTTTTTTTCTCTTTTCTTTTTCTTTTCTCTTTTTTTTTTCTTTTCTTTTTCTTTTCTTTTTCTTTTTTTTCTTTTCTATTTCACTGTTTTTCTCTTTCTTTTCTTTTCTCTTTTCTTCTCTTCTCCTTCTCCTTTTTCCTTTTGTTTCTCCGCTTATTTTCCCCGCTTGTGTTTATGAGTTTTTTACTGATTCCGAAAGAGGGTATGAAAGGAAATAACTGAGGCTCAAAGGGGTAACAAAGGATAAAGTGTTTGGATAGCAGAACAAAATGCCTTCGTCATTTCAGTCTCCAAAACATGCCAAGTACGAACAAATACAATTAAACCAAAGAAAATAATACCTCTCGACCACATCGGAATTGATGGCCATTTCAACACACTTGCTTTNAGTGTTGCTTTATGTTCTATCTGCCCCAGTTTCTCATGGTTCGGGCTTCAAATGATCTCAAAGTGCCTAAATCTATTTTTATTTCCCTTAAGTGCCCCTGTCATCTTCAAAATTGTCTCATTGCTTCCTGGCCAAACTAGTTCTTAAAGATCAGGCTGAGAATTAGGTTGTGCATGTCATGTCACTAGAACCAGCAGGAAAAGAACTGTGGAAAGAAAAGAGAACTAAGCAAAAGAAAATGACTAGAAATAACAGAAAACAGGAAATTGTATTAGACAGACGGTGAAACGGTTCGAACAATAAGACAAGCAAACTAGACTGGGGTTACAACCCTGGAACAAACCTAGACAGCACTAAACGAGCTACTACGACTAAACAAACCAAGCAAAATGAAAGGATAGAAGGGTTTGAGTCACAAGACAATATCCGGATTACAACCTTGAAATAACCCGGACAACAGAAATGGCAACAAAATAAACCACCAAAATTCCACTCCGGCTGACCAAGAAATGGAGCGTCTTCCCAATTACCAAGCATGGCATCTTAGCCACTGAGTTTCGCATCAATACTGCCAAGACCATTATCAACTTTAATCAACAAGTTCCCAAGAGGATTCGCATGCTCCCTATCACTATCATTGACCACAACTACCCCTTCTTGAATCATTCTTTTTATTTCCCTTTTCAAAGAGCGACAATCTTCAATGCTATGCCCCCGGACTTTAGAGTGGTACATGCATCGAACAGCAGGATCAAAGCCTTTCACATATGGGTCTGAAAAATTGCTTTTGGGCACCCGTATCAACCCATTCAGTTCTGTTGTTCTCTGCCATTGCCTTTTGCTTTTGTGTTGTATGGAAGAATTACTTTAAAAACCACAAAATGAACCACCTTTCTTAAATGATATGACAAAATGAAACCATCACGTTAGCGTTAGGGCATTTAACATAAGATAATTTCACTTTACGTGCAACGCACCTAGCCACAGTTATCGGTTCTAAAAATGACTTCGAGGGTACAAAGGTCAGTTGACATCATCCCAATTGTTTATGTCAACCTCTCTTTTTCTTCCCTCACACTTCTTAGCTTGCCCATTTTCTTTCTTTTTCTTTCTAATTATCACTCTTTTTCTTCCTTCTCATTCTCACATCCCACAATTCTGCCTCTTTTTTCTTTCCTTTTCTTTTTTTCCCATTTTTCCTCTTTTTTTTCCTTTTAATAAATAAAAAAAAATAATTCGATCGAACCCTATGTAGGTTGCCTACGTATCATGACCCCGCATGAATCAGATCTTTGCGTAGTTCTAGAAAAACGGGAATAAAGTAAACAAACTGACATTCTCCTTTTTTTCTTTTTTTTTACCTTAATGACTACTCTGATGAGAAAAGAGAAATAAAAAGAAGCAAATCTTTTTTTTTTGTATTTTTCTACAATTAATGTTCTATGACCTATTCTAAACTCAAGCTTAACGGGCATGTTTTTTTTTTCTTTTCTTTCGAAACAAATAATCTATTAAGGAAAAGTCCTAGAAGAGAAAAAATATTTTTGATTCTTTTTTTTCTTGTTTTTAGGAAGAAAATCTAGAGAATAAATCATAGGAAAATATTTTGAATTTTCATTTGATATCCTGGTGCAATATTTCGAAACAAGCAACAAAATGTTTTGGATTTCAACTTTGATTGCCCCCAAGAAGAAATTCTAATGACAAACAAAAGATAAAGTATTTTTTTTTATGTACAATATCCTAAAGTTCTAATGAAAATAAAAAGAATTGTTTTTTTATTTTTCACTAATTTCCCAAAGAAACACCTCAAAAGAAAATCTTTTTGGATTTTGAAATTAACGCCTTAAAGAAAGCTTTTAAAGAAGTACTAAAAGAAAATTCTCTTTCATTTTTTTTTTTGAATTTTGGTCCTAATATACTAAAGGAAACATAAAAATAATTTATTTTAAGTCCTGGATATTAATTGCCTAAAGGAAGAACAACCTCAAATTTTTTCATTTCTAGAACTAGTATTCTAAAGAAAACTCATAACAGAAATATAAAATGCAACATCTCCCTTTTTTTTTGGATTTTTGAATTACACCACGCCTTGTCAAATATAAAATAAAAAGTACAATGACAAAAACTTGACATCTCTGTACAAAACTTAGAAAGTAAAAGACGATATATAAAAAAAATACCCAAAAATAACTAAAAATAAAAATAAGAGTAAATCTCCTTAAGCAACTCCTGAATGCAGCGGTCCTGGGGTATCTGTCCTGCTCAAACTCCGGTTAGTAAATTCACACCTGTATGAGAAAACTTAAACCAACACTATGTGAGGCAATAACATTCTCTATTAGACACATGCAAGACATGATTGCGATTATTTTTGCAAAATGACTTATTTAGCCAAAAGGTGGCTAGAAGTGTAAAAATTTGGCTAAGACCCCGCAAAGCCAAGAACCTAAGATTTACTAGGAAGACCGGACCCTATGTGGGTTGCCTACGTATCACGCCCCGAAAGACGAGAATCAGGTATGCGTAGTTCGGGCAGATTGGATACGGGCGAGAATTTAAAAAAAAAACAACTAACTTATAAAAAACACATTTTTTTCTTTCTTTTTTTTTCAAAAAAAATGATAAAACATGTAAAACTCCTCGGATTTTCTTTTCCTTTTNAGACCGGACCCTATGTGGGTTGCCTACGTATCACGCCCCGAAAGACGAGAATCAGGTATGCGTAGTTCGGGCAGATTGGATAAGGGCGAGAAATTAAAAAAATAACTATCTTATAGAAACACTATTTTTCTTTCTTTTTTACAAAAAAATGATAAACATGTAAATCTCCTTGGTATTTTCTTTTTCCTTTTTTTTGTATTTTTGTATTTTCTAGAAAATGATAGAAAAGTGTAAAATCTTTTTTTTTTTGTATTTTTTCTTTTTTTTGCTTTTTCTTAATAAAAACGTAATAAAAAACATAATTGGGCCCTACTTGCTTTATTTTCACACTTCACCCTCTTTTTTTTCCTCTCTTTTTTTTTCTTTTTTTTCATTTTTTCATTTTCCCTCAATTTTCATTGGTCCGCCAAATGACCCTTTTCCCCTTGAATAAATGCAACATGTAGCACATAGGATGCATCAAGATGGTCTGTTATTTTGGGTATACATGTCCTAGACGGACCCAACCTCTGTGTTGAGTCCCCTAAGTCATATGCACGTGATGCAAATAAGCGCTCCTACTAGGGATCCGGCATGAAGTCAAGTTATTCTAGGTTCAAATCCTAGGTATGGGTTCTAGACTGTGTACCCGAGCGGACAACTCAAGCGAGGAGGGGGCTACGTACCGGGAACCCGCGAGATCGTCCGGCTTAGTAACTTGGCCGGCCTCTTTCTTATTTCAAGATATGACACTAACAGAATAGGGAGTCTCAACCAGTAAGCACATCCCCGGAGGTGAGAAGAGAAGGGTTCCGGCACAGTTTATATATACAGTTCAAATAATATCAAAGCGGTAAAGTATTTAGCACATTTAGCAAGAAAACATGTAGGAAAATCAGATAAAGCCAAACATAACAATTATTCTAAGCTCGCATTCTTAAACCCTGAACCGAAGTTCTGGGTTTGTCTTCCCCAGCAGAGTCGCCAGAGCTGTCACACCTCATTTTTCCTACTACACCCCCAGAAGAGGGAATAATAAAGGGAGTTATTTCCAACTTGAAGTGACAATCGAAACGGGATTTATTATAAAAGATTCAGAGTCGCCACTTGGGAGATTTATGGTGTCCCAAGTCACCGGTTGAATCCCGAATCGAGGAAATGTTTGACTCTGTTTAACAGTCCGCGAACCAGAAATTCGAGTAAGGAATTCTGTTAACCCGGGAGAAGGTGTTAGGCATTCCCGGGTTCCGTGGTTCTAGCACGGTCGCTCAACTGTCATATTCGGCTTAAATTATTTGATTTTAAACAATTATGAACCTATGTGCAAATTTTAACTCTAACCGCTTTATTTCATTTTTAGGAATATTGCAACGCTGTTAAAACACGTCTTGAACCACGTCACATAAATGCACCCACAGTCTTCAACATATTTTAACATTGTTGAGATTTGAATTTGGGTCACATAAATGCGCACTCGAGTTTAAGAAGGTAAATTATTAAAGTAACGCGCCTAAAGCAACTACGCGTTTGCAACTTTGCGAGGGCCATGAAAATTCGCTAAATGACAAGCCTCGATTTCTAAAGAGTTAAAAATTAATTACATGAGGGCCATGAGCTATCAGTGTTATTCAATATGACACACCTCACTACTTAAAAAAGGTTTGTTATCAAATAGCATTTCAAGGTTCAATACCATCACCAAACAACTAATTATTTACATCAAACATTAACAAACAAGCTTAACCCATTTAAACAAATTTATTTTCTTGCCTTTTAATCATGTAAGACATACTTTATACATGTTATGGTAATATGCAGTTAACATCAGCTTAATGTAACTAAATGAAATAGGAAAAAAAAAATTACTATAGTAATCTCAAATAGGATAAGTTCATATCATATCAACAATCTCGTAAGGCATACTTTATACATATTTCAAGTATCAACTCAAGAATCTGGAACTTGTCCCAACATGCCAAAGTATATCATATGCGTATATCCTTACAGAAAAACTCAATTCTGTAGAACATAGAAGCTCAATTAAGAATTAAATTTCCAAATCATGCTCTGTTATGAAAAAAAAATCATAGTTCAAGTCATCACTCACCTGCAGACGCCAATTACTCAGGTCCAACTTCCGATCAACCATGTTACTCAATTCATCAACGAATCATGCGCAACACAAAAAGAATTCCTTTCCAATGTATTAAATAGAATCTCCAGATCAAATCTTACACCAAATAGTTAGGGGGATTGAGATGGAAACCCAAAACTAGCGACGAAACTTTAGATGGAAGGCTGGACCGCGGTCGGAACCTCTCCGGCGACCTCACGAACTCGACTTGGCTTGGACATTTTTAATGGATGAGATTTGGACTGTTTTTGCCACTGATTTTAATGGAGTTTTCAGCTGGTTTCTGAGGAATTTCTCAGCTCACTTCCATGGCTGAAATGGAGTTTTCAGGTAGCTTTGTTGAAGGGGAGAAAGAGCATCAATGGGTGTTGGAGGTGGAGCCGAGTTTTGAGGGTGAGAACGAAGAGAGACCCTTTTTTTGTGTTAGCTACTCCGTTCTTTCGCCTCTGTTGTTGGGTGTCTCCTTTGCGGCTGAAGCTCTTTTCTTGGAGCTTAAAAAATGGCTGCTCTTCGAAATTGGTTCTCAAAAATCCTATCCGAGTTTTTTGTGTTTTTCAGGGAGAGGCTGCGCTCATTTTTTAGTGTATTTTTTTTTGTGTATAGGGTCTATACGTGTAGAGTCTAGGTTTACATTTTGAGTATTTTACCAATCAGTCCCTAGGTCCTTTTGTGTTTAAGTCCTTAGGGTCTTTTTATTTATTTTTTATCTTAATAAAGAGTCTAGAAGGGTCCCTAGACTACACAATGTCTTTTAAAATAAGATAGAAATACTACATCATGTCAAAACTAATCCTAATTAATTAAACTAAACATGAAACTATTTTTGTATTTTCGAAATTATATAAAGATAAAAATAGGGTACTATTTTTTTTGTATTTTTTTCAAAATATATGAAAAATACATAAATTAAAATATTTTTTTGTAATTTTCATTTTTCTTGTACTAAAATAAAGTAAAAGCGTCAAAATTAATTGAAATAGCGCTATTAGGCCTAAATTAAATATTTACATGCTAAAATATGAAAAATCTTGGGGAGGGTCAAAAATTACATGTCTACAGCAGGTGGTGGAGATTGCTAGGATGTCAGAGCATATTGGGGGGTGAGGAGAGGGAGGATAAGGAGACCAAGAGGTCTCGAGATTCCGGAGGTTTCAGTGGATTCTACTCTATGGGCCATCATGGCGGAGGCTCGGGTAGTCGGCCAGTCCAGTCCGCACTTTAGACTACTCATGGTGCTCCAGTTAGTCAAGGTACTCATATGGGGCAATCATCTTTTAGTGAACCGCTGGCACAAGGTTCCTACAACGGCTATTCCAGTTATCCGGCACCGACTCAGTACGAGCAGCGACACCCGCAGAAGGGTTGTTATGAGTGTGGTAATACTAGGCACATCATGAGAGATTGTCCCAAACTCGAGAGAGGCTGATGTCATCAAGGCACTCAGGCTACGGGCTTTGTTCCAGTTGCTACTCCACCTGCACCGCCAGTTAGGGGTGGAGGATAGGCGGGTAAAGGGCACCATAGAGGGGGAGGCTCGGCCAGTTGATATGCATTCCATTGTATGGCTGAGGCCAATGCACCAGATGGTGTCGTTACAAGTATGGTTTCGATTGTTATAGAGGAGCATCATTCTTATTTTGATTTGATTTTTATCGGGGCGAGTTCTCTTATCATGCTTCACATATGGGTGAGTTTCGTGATTTTGTACTTTGCTTATGTATTTAACCCTGCTGGGAGGTTCCATAGCGGTAGCCCGTGCCTATCATTTTGTTTAGTTCATTATTGAGAGCTATGAGGCTAGAAGTGACTTTCGGTTACTCATTACGGTAGGTTTTGACGTGATTTCTGGATGGTTTGGTTACAATTTGTGATTTAGATGCTCTGCCGGTACACGAAATCTGTTACATTTTGTGATTTTGTTTTGCAGAATTGAGTTAGTGGAAGTTTTCGGTTGGTATAATGTGTACTCTACTTGTAATTCAGAGTGGAGGATGGGATCCTCGCGTTTTGTGTGATTTTTTATGCTTGAATCGGGCTACGTGCCTCGGTGGAGTTGTATTAGGATGAGATCCTTGTTTTGTGTGATTTTTTATGCTTGATCCTTGTATTAGTTCATATGTTTTGATTCTCCCTTGTGGGATTGATTCGTAGTATGGTACTGATAGAGAGTTGTGCTTGTCGGGCTTGTCTAATAATTGTCTCATGTGTTTCTCTTTGCATATTTAGTCATATTAGCATTGTGCTTATTGAATTTTAGCTTGCGAGGTGTGTGCCCAGGTTCATGTTTCTTGCGTCATTCTCAGTGTTGTGAAGGTTTGGAACAAGGTTTTAGCTGATATGTGGTTAATTGCAGTCTTGGTTATTGTTATGCGGAGTATAAGGGTGGCATTTCACCATTGTTGTTATGTAGAGTATAAGGGTAGCATTTCACCATTGTTGTTATGCGGGGCATAAGGGTGGAATCTCACTGTTGTTGAATGTACGGAGAGATATGGGTGGCTATTGTGTTATTGTCCATGCGGAGCGATAAGGGTGGCTATATACAGAGTGAAACGGGTGGCTATAGGAGAGATAAGGGTGTCTAATGATAATGCCAGGGCGGAGTGATATGGGTGGCTATCAAAGAGATAAGGGTGGTAATGTCCGGGATGATGTGTGATGGTTGGAGACATTGTTTTGGTGATTTTCATGCGATGTGTGCTAATGATAATGTTAGGGAAGAGTGATACGGGTGGCTATTAAAGAGATAAGGGTTGCAATATCAGCGATGATGTGTGATGGTTGGAGACATTGTGTTGGTGATTTTCATGCGATGGTGTGCTTTTCCTTGTGTTTGTCATACTTGTGTGACTTTCTTTTTTGTTTCGATGAGCTATTCGCCGTCTTTGATATTAGTTGTTGACTTGGGCTGCAGTAGTACTCTTGCACAAGCATACACCATAACATGCCACTTATACTAGCTCAGGAGTATGAAACTTGACATTTATTGATCATGCCCACGTGTTCTTGTATTATCTGTTTCCATGTTTATTTGTAAGCCTGTGACCATGCTGGGTGGATTGTGGATGTGAGCCTGAGATCATACCGGGCGGATTGTGATTATGATCATGTCGGGCCAATTGAGATTTTGGCACGTGAGCTATCCGTGCGGTTGTGACGCGAGATGTGGGAACGAGGTGTCGTGAGTATATGATAGTGGGTTGAGACCCATGACTTGTGACTATGAGATGAAGTACCACAAAGTGATTTCGTTGTGAACTTGTGTTAGAACAACTTGATTAATTTATTTTCCTTTGTGTTTCCTTGTTTGGTTTTAATGATACTTCACGGTGTTCTTATTTCTTTACTGTTTACATCACTTGTTGGTTCTTGTTGCCATTTACTGATTTTCGCTTTCCGTTATTAGTTTTATACTTCTATATTGCACAGGTTATTTTGTCTAGTGAATATCTTGACTTGTACCTTGTCACTACTCCACTGAGTTTAGTCTTGATACTTATTAGGTACCGACCGTGGTGTACTCATACTACACTTCTACACATTTTTGTACAGATCCAAGTACTTCACAGTCTGTTGATTGTTAGATAGCGGATCGGATATTGCTCTGGAGACTTCAAGGTATACCTGCCATCGCGTCGTAGGCCTCAGAGTCACCTTCGGAAGTTATTTTCGTATAGTTTATTTGTATGCCGGGACAATTGTACTTATAGATTTTCTCGTGAACTCAGTAGAGCTTTTGACTTATACTACCGGTTTTGTGATTGTTGGCTTTGTATAGAAATTTCTGCTTCATATTAATAGTTGTGGGTTGAATTTTGCCATTAATTCAGTAAGTGTTAGTCTTACCTAGTCTTAAAGACTAGGTGCCATCACGACATCCAACGGAGGAAAATTGGGGTCGTGACACAAAATCACCATACAAACTTATTGGAGCCACCAAAATACCAATCCGAGGTCGTTTACAGAAAAGTCAAACCTTGGTCAACTCTTACAACTTAAGCTTCCAAAAATAAAACTAAGCGTTCCAATCATTCTCAAACCTTCAACAAGCCAAACTAACCAATCCCGCAAGTCAAATATATAAAACGACTGGCTGGGTCGTTATATTCTCCCCCTCTTAATCAAACGTTTGTCCTTGAACGAGTTTAGAATCATAACTAGAATGCTATAAAGATGAGGATATCTGCTATGCATAACTCAATCTCCCAATCGCTTCCTGAACTAGTTGACCTCTCCACTTGATCTTTACAGATGCAATATCTTTTGATCTCAACTTCCGAATCTGCCTATCCAAAACGGTTACTGGTTCTTCTTTGTAAGCCAAGTTCTTATCCCACTCACTGAAATGTAATCTAACACATGTGACTGATTGTGATGGTACTTCCGAAGCATAGAAATATGAAACACCATATGAATTCCTGATAAGCTGGATGGCAAGGCATGTCTGTCGGCCACCTCACCAACCCTCACGAACACCTCAAATGGAATAATATACCAAGGTCTCAACTTGCCCTTCTTCCCAAATCTCATCACGCCTTTCATAGGCGAAACTCTAAGAAGAACCCCCTCTCCCTCCATGAAAGCCACATCACGAACCTTCATATCAGCATAACTCTTCTGTCTGGACTGCACTGTATGAATCTGCTCTTGAATCAACATCACCTTCTCCAAAGGATCACGAACCAAATCTATAACCAAAAACCGAGCCTCACCCGACTCAAACCACCAACCGGAGAATGACATCGTCTCCCATAGAATGTCTTATGCGGAGCCACTTGGATACTAGGATGGTAGTTCTTGTTGTACGCCAACTCCGCCAATGGTAGAAATTGATACCAATGGCCTCTAAAATGTATAACACATTCTCTTAACGTATCCTCCAATATCTAATGGTCCGCCCAGACAGTGCGTCCGTCTGAGGGTGAAATGTAGTACTCAACTCCACCTGCGTGTCCAACTCACGCTGAATAGCTCTCCAAAAGTGCGATTAAACTAAGTGTCCCGGTCCGGATGATACACATGCACACCATGCAGGCGGAAAATCTCTTTAACGTAGATCCGAGCAAACTGCTTAGAAGTGTAGGAAGTCATGACAAGAATGAAATGTGAAGACTTGGTCTGTCTGTCCACAATGAACCAAACAATGTCAAATCTCCTCAAAGTCCGTGGAAACCCTACCAAAAAATCCGTAGTGTTACTATCCCACTTCCACTCCGATATACCTAAGCTCTGAAGCAAACCACCCGATCTCTAGTGCTCATACTTAACCTGCTGACAATTCAGACACCAAGACACATGTCTAACAATGTCCTGCTTCATCATCCACCACTAATAATGTTTTTTCAAGTCACAATACATTTTCGTATCACCTGGGTGAATAGAATACCACGAACTATGAGCCTCCTCAAGAATCAACTCCCTCAAGACATTCACATTAGCCTTCCTTGGTTGATAAAGAATAGTGACATCATAATCCTTCAACAACTCCAAACACCTCTACTGCCTCGCATTCAAATGTTTATGCTTAAATAGATGCTGAAGACTACGATGATCCGTGTAAACCTCACAAGACACG